GGTGGGGCGGGAGGCGGCCGCGGGGCCGGGAGGAGCTGCAAAACAAGGGGAAGAAAAACCTGGCCGAAGTGCTTGAGGTGTATGAATGTCCGCTTGGGTTTTATTTTTCCGTATGGAGCTGCCCTTGCTGTCTTCTCCTGGCTGGGGACGTACCTTGGCTGGAGAGCTTGCGGGGGTCGGGATCCAAGGGGTGTTTATGGCATTCGCGGAAAGTTTGGGGAGGGCTGGGCGGGCAGCTGGAGCCGCCGCCGCTCGGAGCCGGGAGCCTGACCCGGCTTTGGGTGAATGCGAAACTGAACTGACTGACTGACTTTTTGCCTGCCCGGAAGATAAGAAACTGAAAATAAACGCCTGGGGTTTTGGTAGCGTTTCAGTGTCAGTGGTGGGCTGGTGGAAGTGAGTCGCCTCTCCGCAAACAGCGGTGACATGCCGTTTCTTTTTGGCGCTGTCATCTGTCTAGACGGTCTAGAATATTTGTCATTTTTAGCGTTAAAGAGTCAGGAAGAGAGACCGTCTTGGGTGTTTGCAGAGGCTGTGACCAGCTGTGCTAGGCGAGGTAGGCAGTAGTCTGTAGAAATACAGCAGCGTGCCAGTTCTGAAGGGACTTCTGTTTGAACGTGCTCTGTTGAGGTCCCTTTGGTAACGTACGTACAACAAAATGGCAACAAAGTTGTCTCTTTGCAGTATGTCTGGGCAAAGTAAGGTAGCATAAGAAGAGCAAGACACATACAACTAACAGATGCGTGTGCAGTGACCACTCCTGGCTGGGTTTTGAAAGTGCATTCCAGGTGTCTGCAGCATCAGCAAAAGCAAACACAGAGGTGCAGGTTTTTTTTACATGTGCGTTCATATGTCTGCAGGTGTGAAGCATCCTTGAGGTATTCCCTACCTACAGTTCCATTCTTAGGTACTCACATATATGAATCAGATTTTGGAAGCTTCTCCTGGAGTTTTTGTTGCATTTTGGACGTTTTTGTTTCATGCTTCTGTTTTCCGAAATGGCGTCCTTACTTGGTTTCATCTCTGCAGTAATTTTCCTTCAATTAATCAAGGCATTTGTAGGATATTTGTGAAGTTCATCCTCTATATGGGGTCTTAACACTGCAACAGCACATGTAACTGCTGGAGAGAAAGTAGTAGTCCTTGATCTGTAGCAGTAAGGCCCAATATAGCGTATTTATTACAGATTATGCGCGTCTTATTTGAAAGAATTGAGTTACTGCATCTTTCAGCAAAAGTGTGTCAAACTAATTGTTTGATTTGTGTACTTCACAAGTTCTTCAGTTATAGTTTCTTCTTTCTGTTCAGGGAAGGCAAGCAAAATATTTAATGTAAAATATGGAACATTCTGTAAATGCTTTGGGCAATGCTTATACATTACAAAAAGGTAAAAGCTTATTTTTCCAGCTCTGTAGATTGCTGGTGGTTACTCTTGGCAGCTTATGCTTCTGTGAGGCAACTCTTACCAGATTAGATGCACATTAGCTCTCTCACTTTTTAAAAAAAACTAAATAGATCTCACTGATTTTTACTTTGGAGTTTTGATATTCAGCTGGTTTTTTTTTTTTTATGTATGTGGAAATTGATTTTGGGATTTTTCTATTATTTCCTCTTCAAGTAGTTTTAGTATTTTAGAGGCTTTAATATATTTTTTCTTTAAATTAAATTCCTTTTTCCTCAGTAGAGTGCCTTTGTACTAGAATAAAATTAGTTTTTCTCTACATAGTCTGTTTACTTGCTTAGCATGAAAATTGATATATGAAGCTGTGTCTTGCTCTGAGATGCCCAGAACTACTGTGTAGCATTGTTGAAGTGTCACCTGTAGAGGTTTATTTTTTCCTGGTCTACTGCATGACGCTTTCACTTGTATTTGCAACTGAAACTACATTTAATGGCATATGCATCTGCAATATTGCTTTCATTCCAAAGATCTTGGAGGACTTAGAAATTGCATTCCTCTAAAAGGCAGTAACTATTAGTAGTAGTAACAGTAGACTACTGTCTTTATACAGAGGCCATCATTGATTAGTAGATCCCTACACTCACAGTATATCTAAAGTCTACTGATAATTTTATTGGCTTCCCAATTACTGAAATTGTGGAACTAAATTCTTTTTTTAGAAAAATAGTACTATTTTTTGGTCTTCATATTTTGTGTAAACTTAATACTTTTTCCATGCTTGTCTGCATGCTCTGAAAGCATTTCCATTACAGCTATGTGTTTCCATACAGTGTTTGTCTTTATGTGTCATGATGAACTTGCTAAATTTTATATAAATCATGTAGTCTTGAAATTAAATTGTCCTAAATCCATTCAGTATTCTAGTAGTGATTAAAAGGAAAGTTTTTCTTCCTGTAACAAATGGCCAGTGCTTTCTGGATGCTTATAGCACTGCACAGGTGCTATACATCTGTGCCTTAAATTTTAAAAGGCATATATTTTTTTGCCTCTGAAGGATTAATACCCAAGGGAGTTTTCTTAGATGCTGTAGGGAACAAGTTCTGTCCGTGTGATATTTTATAGCTAGCCTGTTTAGATTAAGACTGGTAACCTGTTGGTAGACTCTGGATATATGTATAAAAACTAACTTTATAGAGTTTCAGCTTCTGTAAATTTGGGAGCTTTATTAATGACTTTTTAACGAACGTGCTTAACGTTCATTTCGGTTTTGCATAATGAGAGAATTCAGCATGCCATATTAAAGCTATCCAGATTCAATCTGTGTGGTAAAGTTCTGTGGTGACACTGCTCCAAACAACATACATGAACACAGTAATAACTACCAAAATGTTTTAAAATGGTTTTGTTTTTCTCATTAAAAAAACCCTGAGATTGAAGGGTAAAAATGCAGACTGTGTCAATACTAAAGAAAGATGTGATGTCTGGAAACAGACTCATGGCTGAGAGTTGCAAGAACTGAATGACCTGAAATATAAAAGGCAATGCAGAAAGGAGAACGTAGGACAACCTATACAAGTAAAAAAGGTAATTTGAACATGTAAGGCCAATATTGGGAAGGCCAAGGCTCAGAAAAGAATGTAACGGGGAAGGAAATCATATTCCTTAAGAACTCCATTAGTATGAAGCAGAATAAAAAACTACTGTGTTAGGCAGCCATCAAGGAAAGCTATTGGTTGGCTGATGCTGGGAAGGACAGCGTTTTAAGCCTCTTCTTGTTCTGGTCTCCACTTCAAAGGATAGTTTCAATGAGCTGCTGCGTTAACAAGTGTAAGTACTTGGCTTAGATGAACAGGTTAGATATCCTTGAATGCTCTAGGCCTAATAAAGTTATACTTCAATACCTGAAGAAATGATTGAAGCAATGTGAGATGTTGACAGTTATCTTTGAGAAGAAGTGAAGTGTCATTGAGGTTTCCAAACACTGTGAGAGTCCAAACAGTTGTTTCACCAAAGTCCATGTTGCCACTATTTTCTTTTGACTGGGTCTAAATAACTTTTCATTCAGTGTCTTGGTCAGACCTTCTCTACTGCCCTTTAAAAGACTTAATTCTCTGTTGACTTGGCACACCTACTTATTAGGTAATGTCTCAAGCATATCTTACTTAACACAACTTGTTATTTGAGTAGCTGGTGTCTCTTATTGGGGCAGCTACATTATTAGGATGATTTTTTCCGGCTAAACCTATTATTATAATAGAAGACGACTACTTTTGCATACCTTGCCTTGTCTAGGTATAGCAGGTGCAAGGGTATAGCAGGTGCAATCCCCACCTTACATATTAGTAACTTGACTTGACTGAGGGATGAAGAATATCTAGTAGTTTCTGCTGCCTTTCATGATCGGTTTTACAATAGATGTCGATAGAGGAGGTATTTGGCAGACAGTCTGATCCTCAAAGACTTACAGCTTGGCTCCAGAAGGTATGCTTAAACAGGAATAATTAACAGTACAAACAAAAGTGGGAAATGACTGGCAAAGGCAGTAGTTTGTGTAAAGTGATCAAAGGAGTTCACAAGCTGACTATGCTGTTGCTAAAAAACAGAAATTCTGTTAAAATATGTGAGCGGGAGTGTTGGGTACTGGTCAGATACCAGCTGAGGTATTTTCAGTTTCTGATGCCTATCATCTTTCATCTCTCTTTCTCTCATCCGCCTTTGCTGCCCCCCTTCTTCCCCCCCGTTCTTATTTACAAGACAGCAGAGATGTGATTAATACATAGGTTAAATCTGCAGGATTTTTATGTGGATTAATTTTCTTCCCCCTCTTTAACTTCTGTTGACATCCATAACAAAATTTCAGTTAGGCCTCTTTGGTGAAATGGTTTACTGAGTGTTATCTTATGTTCTAGATCTCTTTTTGCGAGCTAAGTCCTTGGTAGTAGATGTTGGTTCATACACTCAAATCCATGAAGTTATTTTGAGTATCTAAAATTAAAACTATAAACCTATAAACCTATTTATTCCAGAATTTTGACAAATGTTTGGTTTTGTTGAATTATTTACAATGTCCAGAGATCAGTAAAGCTAAGAATTTTCTTTATAATATAGCCTAAATAAATCCTAGACTGTGCTATAGGTATTTATAAACATTCTGGCTTTTATTATTGTTTTGGCTGTTAGCCTGCGTGTTTAACCCTAGATATTTATATAACTCCAACTACTTGTATATACAGTTTTCAAGGTTGCTTAGTTGGGCAATTTTTAACCCATCAAATGGGGTTTTATCTGGATGTATTTCTGTCATCAAAGAAACATCCAGTTGCCCCCAACAAGGGGGACCCCCTCCCCCAAAACCCCCACAAAACCAAACAATCAAATCTTGATGTATTTTGAAATTCTTGCAATTAAAATCCATTGGCAGTGCTCCAAGACAGTAAAATTCAGTAGCTGTGTTATGTCCTGTAACAGGCCTTTGTTCCCTGATTTTCCTGCTTCTGTTTGCAAGGGCTTCCCTCCCTGCCCCCCCCAGCAGAACAGTCAGAATTCAGTGCAGTTGCACTTGGAGCTATGTTTTGTTTCAAGTGAAACAGCTGAGTGTGATAGAGACTAAATTTTGGCAATGAAAGAGAATACTGACATGGTCAGTTACTGCATTTTGAATTGTGAGTGTTAGAATTGGTTGCCAGCTGAGGTGTGGTAACTTTGGAAATAGTTCATGTTTACTTGCAGGAATGTTTAGTCAATCTCTTTCTTGACTCTCTCTCAAGTGTAGGAAAAAGAAAGGTTGCATAAATATACAGAACATAGTGCGTCAGTAGTAGCCTTTTTTGTGCTTTGATAGTCCATTCACTGTGGTCAGACCCTCAATCAAGGTTTTTGTAAGTAAACTCTGATATTTTAGTGAATGTGTTTCAGTAATTTTATACTAAAATTGAGATGATTGAAGTTTTACTAATTTCTGTCTCTTCTAATGATTTTAACTGAAACCTTTAAACTTATTAATTGTAAAATCATAGGTATAGGAAAAATGGTGAAGAATTACTTACCCCACTTCCCAATCCCAACATTTCATGTAGAATTGTCAAAGCCTTCTTGTTTGAAAAAGTATCCATACCATCTTCATTCTCTGCCAATACGATGTGCTCTGGTAAAATGAGCTATAGTTTTCCATCACAAAATATTGTTTTAAGTGCTTGAGATAATAATCCTTGCTCACTTTGCAGTACCTTGTTTTTAGAAGCATCAGGGCTGTCAACTTATTGCAGCTTAAGTTACTGTGCCTCAGCTGGAATGTGGCATGTGCCAAAACCTTGATAAATGAGAGGTAATGTTTACTTAGCTGACAGGGATAAATGAGAGGTAATGTTTACTTAGCTGAGTAAGTAAAGTGAAGAAACTAAACCCAGTTGAACTGCTTCATGTGTCAGGTAGTCTTAGAGTTTGCCTGTGAACATTTTTACCATGGTTCAACTGATGTGCAAAAATTGCATGTCATGCATGGTAGCTTGGTTACAAACCTGAACCTTTGCTCTGGACACCATTAGAATTACTTGCCATGAATACAATTACAATTAGTGATGTCTTCTTGGAGAAATAAATGCCTTTTTTTTTTTTTTTTTTGGTGTGTGTCTCATTAGAGAATCATTACATGAGCGTTAAAATGGTCTGTGCAGGGTCAGCTTTATCAGGGAATAAATTTAGAGTAGAATTGAACCCAATAGTATATAAAAACTGTCACCTTGTTATTATCTACAAAGACTACGTAGACTCGTTATAGTTACTAGAGTAGTTATAGACTGCTGCTGGGAATGCTTTCTCCCCCCACCCGCTTTCCTAATGTTCCTGTCAATATGTGTGTATTGTAAGGCTTACAAACAGAACCACCAGCTCTCAGAAAACATCCTTTTGCATGTAGGATTTGTCTGGACAGGTGACACATGTCAGATATGTAGAATTCTACTGGAAAGTGATAATAGATTGGTGCAATGAATAAATTAAGTCATTAAAAACTTTATAGTATTTTGCGACTACTGTGAGATGGATGGATTAGTTTACCGGATCAGTTCTTCCACAGCAGTTCAACAACTTGAGCCAACTGTTCTAATGAATGCATTTTTGAGATTAGGGTCCAGTTTCCCAAAATTGGCGGTACTTTGAACAGTTGTCTAATGCCATCAACACTATATAACTGCAAGAATATTTCTTGCAGTTGGAGCTCCTGTCTCCCCATATGTTTGGCCATTTCTAACTTGCGTCCCCAAAGGAAAGCATTATTGGGTCAATCAAATCTTCATTGGCAATCTCAAGTTATATTCCTTTCCAGGCCTGTAATCTGCTTCTGGTTTCCTGAATCTCATTTATGTCCCTGCTTAGCTGTATCAGGTGTCTGTTCCATGTGCATGTGTTAACACTATACAACTAATTCAAAGGTAACCATTGCAGGTGTTCCATCCTTCTTATAGAATTTGCAGAAGACTTTGCTTCGGACTATGTGCATGTTTTTAAGTTACGAGTTTCCTGGTCCCTTCCAATGTTCCTTTGTTATGGCAAGTGTCTGATGTCAAGGATGTTGTAAAAACAGATCTTGCAATTCAAATTTTCTGTGTTTACAGGGTACTGAATTTATTGTTGTCTTAAGACATTTAAAAATTAGATTTACTGAAATGCTTCCTGTGAACTTTTATAAGCTATAAATATAACTTGCAAATGTAAGATCTTTTGAGGGCTGAAAATTCACTCTAAATTTAATGTTGCTAGATTTCCACAAGCATAGGAAGCAGATGGTCGAGGAAGAAGAAGCAAACTTAATTTCAAAATGGGTCCTTACAAAATGTGGCAGAGGAATCTTAGGTTCTTTTCCATGGACATGCAAGCTCCATGAGAAAATACCAGGTTATTTTGTAGCATGAATGAACAGTGTGTTCTTAATCATCTTTCATGGATATTTGAGATGTAGGTTGTGGATCTCTTCCACAGCAAAGAGTTGAAGAACCACCGGTCAGGGACCACTGACTCAGACTTTGGGTCTTTATCGTGCACCACTACTACTGTGCTTATTGTAGTTTTACTTACTGGCTTCTTTGCTTTTAGGAGCTGTAGCACTGAAGAATCTTGAAATAAAAGAAAATGCACTGGTAAGTTAGTGAAAATAAAAATAAGCTGTTGCAAAAATGATTCTTGAACAACTTACTGGGTTGTATGTGCTTTTTTCGGTTCTTATTTTAAGATACACTGTCTTTTAAGTGAAAACTTACTGTTTTGTTTTCTCTACAGTTATGTGGATTGTGTAATTAATTTGAGACTAAATTTAAAGGTGAAGGTGTATGCTGGCTTCATTTAGCTTTTTTTTTTTTTTGCCCCCTTCCCCCAAAAATAAAACTCTCAGCAATTGCTAACACAATGTGTTTAGGTCAAAAGCAATACTGAAAGATCTTTTTTTTTCCTACAGCTCATGAAGTTAGAAACTTGCTCTTGGGAATGTATTTAGCCTAGCATGGCTTAACAGTCTAAATCAGTAACCAAATGCTTGCTTGTTCCATTATATTGAATGGGTTATTTTCAGTGGTTAAAAGGTAAATTTGTTGTTAAGGTTATAATCTTTTTTTCCTGTATGGGAGCGTTGCACAAATTGCTGAAATGAGCTTAAATGTTCTAAAACACTTGCTTTCAGAGTCAGCTGGATGTGCCATTTAAAGTTAAAGCAGGACATATTGGTAAGTTACATTTTATCATACACCCATGCAGGAGTTACTAAACATACTACTTTTCCTTGCAAGTGGCTCTAGGCATTCTAAGCAAGTAAATTTCTTAGTTTCCTTGATTTGCATGCTTTGTACACTCTGAAGTTTGTCTCTTCTGAAAAAAACTGTTTGAAGAAGCTCCTTTTCTTGAGCTGAGATGGTAAAGTTAAAATATACTGGAGTCTTGTCTAATCACTTCAATATTAATGAGAAAAGAACCCAACACAGCAAAGATGAGCAACTGAGCAGGACTGGATCTCATCCCTTGTCTTAGCAAGTCTCCACAACTGATTTTGCCTTCCATTTCCCTTTCTATCCTCCTTCCCTGTTTTTGCTAATGTGAAAAGTTTTCTCATTGCAAGTTGATTGTCTTGTAAAAGTTAGTGGTTTCTTAAAGCAAACTGCATCTAAAGCCATTATGTTTCCCTTAAATCTACCCTGGAAGTAGATTTACCTCTGACTGATTTCATAGTTTATTAAAATTGGCACTGTGTGAAGAATGAGAGATGCTGTAACCTCAGGGTCCCCATGTTCACAAAACATACTACTTCAAGACTCTCTTCCACAGAAAAAGAAAGAAAAATCTGTATTTTAAAAATTCTGGTTTTGGGAGTATTTAGCTGACTGATCATACGTGAGCTGCCCATGCTTTTCTTGTTTATGAGGGTGCTGGAGTGGATTTGCAAGGAGGGAGAGGTTGCTGTTAGGAAGAAGGAATATAATTCAAGGGAGTAAGGAGAGGACCTGTAGACTTAATAGTTCTGCTCATGGAAAAACTTGCCTCAAGTTAATTTGTGTGTTGTGTTAAACAAACAACCCAAAGGACATGTGCCTCAGATGCACTGTTTTTTCTGTCCAATATAATAATTGTTCAGAGATTTTGTGGTTAATCTCGATTATCTTTCTAATCTTTTTTTTTTTTCCGGTCAACTATTTAACTGTATACCTCAACATTTTCTTTTGTGTTTGTAGGTCAACTTAACCTACAGATTCCATGGCAAAACCTTTATACTCAACCCGTTGGCAGTTCTCTTGATGGAGTTTATTTGCTTATTGTGCCCACAGCCAGTAAGTTAATGTAGAGAAAAAAGTGAATATAGATTGGTGGGATTTCAGAAGTATCTGGAATGGGTTGATATTGTTTTCATGAGCTTTATTCCTAGTAGATGCTCCTAGCAAATAAAATTAGATAATGGGAATGGGATGTCTTTCAGTAGGTTCTATTTAGTCACCTAATTTTTTGCTGTTATATTAACAAAATGTGAAAATTACTGCTTTTGAAACAGCATCATCCAAAAATATGTAAGGGTTTTTGTATCATACCTTTTTATGTTGTGTATTTAGGCATAAAATATGATGCTGAAAAAGAAGCCAGGCAGCTCTTGGAAGCGAGACAAAGAGAATTGCAAAGGATAGAGGAAGCAAAGCAGAAAATAGCTGACCAAGGTAAGAGTGGGAAAAGCTAATGAAAGTGACACTATTTCTTTCTTTATTTTAATCCAGAAAGATGCTGGATTTGTCACTTAGTGTTGTAGATTCCTGTTTTCCTCTTGATACTTAAAAACCTATTAGTGACAGATTTTCAGGTGTAGCTGCCATCAATATTGCAGAACAGGCATCCTGAAAATAAAAAGGTTCAAGCAGTGATGTGATCTGATATAAATAAGGTTTTTGAAATATTGCTTGCTTGTGTCATATGTTGCCTGACATTTTCTTTCCTCTTCTTTCATAAGAAACAATTTAACTTTGTTTCCAGTAGCAAAGAATTTTTATGGTTACACCTTTTTAAAGATTCTGTTTAATTTGTTCTTTGATACATGTTAAGTCTTATCATCTTAAATTCAACTTTTGGTACTTTCAAGAAATACGTTATTGGCCACCTTGACTATCAGTGGGTACAAATCATACTTTTGAACAACCTGATTCTTCATGCAGCAGGTAGTAAAGCTGAAACCATCTAGTCTGAGGATATAGATTATACTGAAAGGACATGTTTTTATACAACTACAGTATAATGTAATAGAAAATTTAAATATCTATCATACAAACTTTATTATGTTACTGTTTTCTCTAGTGTAGTTTTAAAAATACTTTAATGCAAACAAAATATTAAATTCTTTTCCTTTAATTTAGATAAAGTAAAAGAAGAGAAACAAGACACTTTTGTAGAAAAACTAGTCACTCAGGTCATCAAAAATCTTCAGGTGAAAATTTCCAACATCCATATTCGCTATGAAGATGATGTAAGTACTTTTGTATATCTCGGCATAAGGGGTTGTGCACTGTAACATGAAATTAGGAACCTGTCTGATTTCTTTTCTCCTAGTTGCTTTCTACGTTGAGAGAATTCTAGTAAAGTTTCAGAAATTTCATAGTCTTAAGAAAAGAAAACTGATAAAAAGCTTGTACCAAAAAATAAAGATATTTATAAGCATGTGGTTGGGTACAAAGAAGATACAGTTGTCAGATCTTTGTTATATATATTTTTTTTTTTATTGTTGGCTATTTACTTCCAAATCTAAATTTAGAGCATAAGATAATCCTTTTTTGGTATTTTCCCCCTGCTCTATTAGATCACAAATCGGAATAACCCCTTGTCATTTGGGATTTCACTTCAGAATCTAAGTTTGCAGGTAATTTTATTTTTCATCTAAAAAGCATGTTGATGTATACTGATAGGTTAAGTTACGTTTTTGTGTATTATTGTGCTGTCTGGTAACATACTGTCTAATGAAAGTATACCTATATTCATGACCAATGCACAGTGGTTACTACTTGGTTTATCAAATCCAGCATAAATATTGTGGCGGTGGTGCCATTAAAAATAAAGTGCTAGCATTAAAACAGACCTTTGGGAGGAAGTTCTTATTCTTCTGCCTGCTGCACTTCATGGTTGCCAAGTACCAGACTTTGCTGGATTTGGGCTATGCAGAATCTATGAATATTTTACTGAAACTGCCATAAGCCCCAAGAAAGGAAATTACTACTTGATATTGGGGAGGGAAACAAAGGAAAAAAAGAGGATGGCATCTTGTTTCAAACTGGAGCTCAGTTCTTTGATCTGCAAGCTCCACTTTAAAGTGCTAATAGTAGTCATCACAGACTGTATAAATTTTTTTTTTTCCAGGAAGACTACCTAGTAGCAGCAATATGCTGTTTCTGCTGAGTTGCTCTGATTCAGTAGCTTTTGCAGTGTAACTGATAATCTTAAAGAAAATGTCTAAGTAAATATTACTTTCTTGAATGAAATAGTTGTCTTATCAACACTTGTTCCTAACGCATTGAAAGGTTTTTGCCAGCCCCTTCCCCTAAACAGTTTTGCATAGTGAACAAAAACTTTGGTATTCTTACCACTTCACTCCTGAAATGCGTATTAGCCTTGAAAAAGTATAATAGCATACAGTGTTTCTGTTGGGCTCAAACTAAAATGCTACTTCCAGAATTATAAAAGAATTCTAGTCCCTTGATTATCTCTTTCCAAAGAGCCTGCCTAAAAATAATATTGGTGTAAAGGAAAACAGTTTGCAATACTGAAAACAGAATTTTAAAGTATCTTTCGGTTCTTGTGTGCACCCTGCCAGTCACTGTAAGTATACGTGTGTATTTTTTTGGGGGAAGTAACCTTATCAAGTTTCCACTTAAAATAACGGCTTAATCATCTTAAATCAGAAGATGGTGTCCCATTATTTTCAGTGGGGTTTAGTTATGATGATGTTCCTCTCTTTTTTCGTGGTTTGTTTCAGTGATGATAAAATATTGGTGTATTATAGATACTGGAAGAGCTTTCTTTAATTCTAATTTCAGACCTCAGATAAGAATTGGAATCCATGTTTACATGATGAAACTGCCAAGTTGTTCTACAAGGTACAGTATAAACTGTATGCTAAAGAAAGAATTGTTAATAAAACAAGCTGAATTAGAGTTCCTTCCACAGAAAGTGAGATCAAGAAAACACATTAATTGTATAGGCTCTAAAATAAAAGGATGCGTAATCTGCAAGGAGCATTCTGAATTTTTTTATTCATCCAGACTTTGTGAAATCCAAATTATTAATCTAAAATTTGTAGGTATTAATACATATGTTCTGTTGTATTTTCAGCTTGTACGACTGGATAACCTTTTCGCTTACTGGAATGTGAAATCGGAGATGTTCTACCACGGTGGTTGTGATGAATCGTTGGTAAGTAAAGCATGAGATAATGTATCTAGTATTCTAGTTCATACTGTGAAGCATAGAGCATGCTTCACATTCAGTTCTGCTTCCATTTATGTCAATGTCCTGAAGAACTGTCTTGTTGCTAATAGGTTTTTTAGGAAAAATAGTAAATGTTAAGGTATTTATGTGATAGAAGTACAACACCCATCTGAGGAAGTTTAAAAAAAAAAAAAGTCCTTTGCCAGTTACAAAATTATACACAATATACAGTCATCTTACTGTTCAGTGATTTTATTAGCTAAAAATAGAAGTCTTATTCTGTTTAAAACATAGGTTAATATTTTTAATTGTATTGTGTATCAGAGGGATTATCTGAAACCTGTATTAAAATGCTAACATTTTATATTTTAAAACTTTATCATGAAATAAAAATGCAACTTATCTCCATTGTGTATGTAGGTTAACTTAAAACAGGGAGTTGCCAGCCACAACGTGATTCCAGAAGGTTATGATTTTGGTAAGTGGTATTTTATTTGTATTTGTAATAGGCGTGTATACTTTACTTCTAATTTTTAATGCCTCTCAGCAGTTGCTTCTTTGGCTGTTATTCAAAAATCTTAGTAAGGAGTGCAGTTTAGTTCTTTTGTAGGAATAACTGTCCCTCTGACAGTGAATACTGTACCATATCTGTAGCCTTAAAGAGGCTTTGATTAAAATACGAGTCTTGAGTCATGTATCATTTAATGGAATGTCGTACATAAATCCTCATTGTTCACATCCATTGCAAATTCCTTATTTTAAGAAGTTTAGCAATAATATGAGCATCATGTAAGTTTTGTGATTCAGATTGGTTTGAGTAATAAGTTAATGTTTTTGAGGTCACCTGCCTTATGTGAAGTGTATCTTTTTTCATTAGAGGTGGAAACAGTAATCACACAACTCTGAAACATGAACTTTTTTTTTTTTAGTGTTGTCATATTGCAAGTTGTAATGCTTTGAGTGTTGCTTACCTTAGTCCGAAAGTTACATTGGCTCCACTCAAACATGGTGATTGTTTACTTTTCGTTGTATGGAAAATACATGTTTTTTATTTCTCATGTGCATCTGTGTGATTGTTCAGTAACTGTTTACAAGGCAGAATGGCCTTTGAAGTGGCTGGTCTCTAACAAGAAAGTCCTCGGTTCACTATAGCCAGGGTTAAAAAAGGCATAGTTTTATGGGTTTTTCTTGGTGCCTTTGCCTGAAAGAGGAAGCCTTTTGTGTCTCTTTATTTCACTGCCAGAGAACTATTTAGTAATTTTTTCTGATTTCTTACCTATCTTTTTCATTTGCTAGCTTTGACTCTTTTTACAAGAAGATGTTTAAATGTCATCGGTTGTCTAAGTCTTTACACAGAAGTTCGAAATAATTGTATGCAAAATTGCAGGATTCAGGATTTACACTCTTTAGAGTGTTGCTCTTTTAGAGCAACTCTTTAGATTGAGACATTGATAGAAAGGTAGTATGCACAAAGTCTGCTTCTGTCATTTGATCTAAATGCAAACATAATACTTACACATAGGAAGGAAGAAAAATGAAATTTAGGAAGCTAAATACAGGGAGAAAATTAATAGAAATGTTACCACATTAAATGTGTAGATAAAAGTAAAATAAGCTTCACAAGAAATAGAGTTTGAAATGAAACAAAAGTAAATTAGTGTAAACATTGTTTCATCTTGCAAAAATGTCTGTTTCAGTGAATTTAGAATATTTGGTAGGTAGATGGTCTATCAGTATTTCTGTTGCAATCAAAGGAATTTTGTGTGATAAAAATACAATTTACACAAATTCAAGTAATACACAAATTCTTATTGCTGGATCAGTTGCTGAAATGGATAGAAAAATTGAACTAAACGTGGCTTTTGAAGGCTATATTGAATGCCTGATATTGCCAAATTGTGGAACAGATAAAACATTTCTGCTCTGAATATTTTTCATGTGATGTGCTTCGCTTTACATAGGATCCATATTGATTTTTTCCACACTTACTTGGGCTTGGATTTGGAAATGTGGAATGTTTGGTTTTATCCACTGTTTTGAGTATAATTTATCAAACAGTGTAAAACAACAGTAACGTTAAAAAAAAAAATTCCTTCTGGAATAAAAGTTATTATAGGGAAATAAGTGTGATGTTTGAAACTATCTTGTACTATAAATAGCTTATATCATAGCCAAAAAAATTAGGTTTGTTGCAAATATAAACTATTAATTGAAACATCTGCCATGTAATACTGTGTACAGGTAATTTTGTGAAAATGTTCCACAAATATTTGTTCCACAAATGTTACCAGAATGAAACTGAAAATTAAGTATAGATTGTATTATATTTTAAGCTGTGTTGATGAAGTCTTCATGTTTTGAAGTCTAGCGTTTTTAAATGAATAATCAGGCATAACTTGAGCTGATAAGTATTATGTATCATTTGTGGCAGTCTTAAATAATTTAATTACACTTTTTATATCAACTTCTGTTTTTTAGTATTCCGCCCAATTTCAGCTAGAGCCAAACTCCTTATGAATCCTCGATCTGATGTTGACTTTTCATCACCAAAAATGGATTTAGATGTAAATTTACAGGATATAAGTGTTGAATTCAATAAGCCGCAGGTACAAACTATTTTTCTGACGTTATATGTAATGTGGTAAAAAAGTTAGTTTGCAAGAATAATAAGAAAAGCGATCTGAAATTTTATAATAAACATACAGAATTGATTAACTTCTTAGTCTTGTTTTTCTTTGTAAATTATTTTCTTTTTAAAGAGAAGCTTGATTCACATTGTTCTCAGAAAGACAATAACACTCAGTTTGAATTTTTTTTTTTTAGTACTTCAGTGTTGTGGAGCTTCTTGAGTCTATTGATATGATGACTCGAAATCTGCCATATAGGAAGTACAGACCTGATGTTCCATTGCACGGCAATGCCAAGACATGGTAGGCCACCTCAGACTTTGAAAATAATTTGTTAGTTATTCCTTTGAAATAATTACCAAGGGATTGTTTCTAATTTAAGAAGGTTAGAACTCGTTTCCTTCTGAAACAAAGTCTTCTCTTTTGTTTTTGTTTGTTTTTCTTAAGCTAGGAGTATTAAAAAAACATTGATAAGACCTCAAACCGAAGGTGAAGACGCAATATTTGAAAGCCTGCATTTGCTGTCTTAAAGACCATTATCAGAAACTTAAGTCTGATATATTTTAATATCCTAACTCTGTTTTAATGAAGGAGACCCCATTATATGTGAGGTACTATTACAAGAACATAGCTATTATCTAAAAATAGGCAAACCTTTTCAACACAGATGGCAGAGATTTGATTTCTTTTCAGAAGATTCCTTACAAATATGTTTTGATTATTCACACGCACACACACATATATATATATGTATATTTGTGGGCACATTTTGTACAACGTTACTTTTTAATTTTAGGAAATAGCAACCTGTCAACTTTGTGTGGAAAAAAAAATAAAATCCTTAGGTTCCTCAACTGATCAGAAGTGTGGTATTAGGCAAGGGATTTCACTCTTTCACAACTTGAAGTTGTATTTAGTGGGAGTCTGCATAGCTCTAGGTATCTTTTCAATATACCAACAGAAATGTAAACTATACTTCATTTGTCTTTGCTTTTAGGTGGAAATATGTTATTTATGGCATCCTTGAAGTAAATGTTCAACCTAAGCTCCAAATGTGGTCATGGGAACATATTCGGCACCATAGGAAGCAAGTGAAGAACTATAAAGAGATGTATAAAACAAAGATAACATCAAAAAAACCTAATGAAGAAATCTTAAAATTGTTGGAGGTTAGCCATTTTCTATTAAAGGCTTAAATATTGTTCATCTTGCTATTTTCTTAAACTTAAATGTTTATATGTTCCTAAGTCAGTACTAAGTGAAAATAAAATTTTCGGTGGCCAGACTTGCAACTTCATCAGTACCTTTCTCTGTGAGTAGTATTAACAAACATATTAGATGATTTTTTTAAATTAGTAACTGCAGTGAAGAAAAACTTAAACTGATGTGCTTTTTCTTTTCCTATTTTCCTAAGAAAATAGGAAAACCTATTTCCTAAAATCAACAGGTTTATTTTAAGTTTTCAGCTTGAGCAAATTAACTTGGGTTGCACTGAAAGAGTTGTTTACTGTCATTTCCTGTAAAACTGAGCCATGAAAACTAACCAAATGAAATTGTCAAAAAATAATTTCTCACCTTCTTTCTAAGAATTTGAAAAGGCGTTGGATATTTTTAACATCACTCTAGCAAGGCAACAAGCAGAAGTTGAGGTAAAATTTCATCATTTAAGCGAGTGTCCTGGTTTCAGTTGGGGTAGAGTTAATTTTCTTCCTAATAGCTGGTACAGTGCTGTGTTTTGGATTTAGCATGAGAATAATGTTGATAACACACCCATGTTTTAGTTGTTGCTAAGTCGTGCTTACACTAGTCAAGGACTTTTCAGCTTCCCATGCTCTACCGACTGAGAAGGCTGGAGGTGCACAAGAAGCTGGGAGGGGGCACAGCCAGGACAGCTGACCCAAACTGGCCAAAGGGACATTCCATACCATG